GCATGTGTAGTTCTAAAAATAAAGTTAGTTTCTTTTGACAAGTGGCTCCTGAATTGTGCCCAGCCAGACTGYGGCAATGGATGAACCTCAAAAACATGATGCTAAAATGCTGAAATGAACCACTCACAAAAGACCACATTATTTTATTCATATAAAATGCCCAAAATAGACAAATTCAGAGATGAAAACCAAAGTAGTTTCCCAGAGCCAGAACCTGGGGAGATACAGAAGTGAATGATATTGGATATGTAAGGTTTTTTTGTGAGGTCATTAAAATATTCTTCAATTGATTTGTGAGGTTAAAAATGACAAATATTGCACAACTCTGTGAATATATTAAAAGACAGATTTCAGTGGGTAAAGTGAATGGTTTGTGAATTATATGAATACATAATTATCCCCTCATCTATTCTATAGATATAAAAATCAAGTTATTTCCCCTTCTTTTAAATAATTAGATGGCTTCTAATTGTTTTTGGTCTACTGTAACCAATAYGATAAGAACTATCTTTTGGAGTAATGTCCATTTTAATATAAGTTTTTTAAATGACAGAGAACATGAAATGGCAAAAGAAGTATAAAACTTAATTGTAAAATACACTATTTAAGTAGTGTTTGCCTTTTAGACAATTCTAGGAATACACCACTTATTTTCATTATTGCTACAGCATAAGGTAGTAAGAGAAAGAGTAAATCTTAAATAACACAAATGTGTTCCTTACACCCATGGGAAAACCCTTCACAAAGAAACAGTAGAATCAGAATCTATCTTCTTTTTGCTAAACTTGGGGTTAAAGGGAGCAGCAATGCAGAGATTTTATAATTGTATTTCACTCTGAAGAGTAAAAACAAGATTCCTTATTCACTTGAATCTCCTTATGGTTTCTACTACATCATCTTTTTTTTTTTAATCCTCTTAAAACTGTGCTTGTATTATTTTTATTTCATAGCATGTCCTTCATTTCTATCTTAATGTATCTATGCTTTAAGGCTATATTTAGCCTCAACCCAAATGAGGTCTCCTTCATCAGTTTCTCTAGTTCACTCTATCTCTACATGACAAATAGTTTTCATTATAACATACATAAGTATTTTATTTCCTCTTCATTTCATGTGCTTTAATTTTGTCTTCTCTGCCAGTCCCTTTCCACATTAAAAAAGCTAAGATAAGGTCATATGATCTGTCTTTATAACCTAGATATTTAGTAAATAATAACAATAATAGCAATATTACTATTCATTGAGTAGTCATTATGGATCAATTGACTGAGGCATAAATTGTTCAAAACGTCATTTATCAGTTTATGATATGATCCCACATCATCTCATTTGTCCCTCAACAACTCTGAGTTTGCTACAATTACTAATGTTACTGTCTTAMAGTGATTTTGAGAAATTTTCATCTAGGTACACTAACTTAATGGTAGATATGGAATTTTAATACAAATATTCTGACAAATAGCTCAGAGCTTCCTGTCCTGTCATAATATCTCATTTGAAGGGGAAATAAAAAAATACATATATATATTATCAAGGATTCATCTCAACCAAAGAGTTTCAGTCTGTGATTCCAAATTTCCCAGAAAAGAGAAATCCAAAGAAACTCAGAGAAAGTTTCCTTCCCCAAACAATTATTGAAATAACAGGTAATAATGCTGATATAAGGTGTTATCATTACGAAGTATTCTTTCACAAATGATGTCATTTAATCCTAACAACAACTCTACAAGGAGATATGGGTTATTATCATCAGAGTTAAGGAATGTATGTGTTTCTCCCATTTCAGGTCACAGAGCTTAATAAGTAACAGAGCTAAAGTTCAAATCCAAGACTTCAGACTAACAGTATAACCTTTATTTCCCATTTCTACTCAAAATTTATTACTTAGTTTTATGTTGACATTGTTTATTTCTCAAAATTGATGAATAAATATAAACAAATTTGGTGATTCTAAATCTCTTCTAGATTCACTGGATCATTTAAAAAACCAAATCTAGCTTGGTGTGGTAGCATACACCTATAATCCCAGTGTCTTGTGAGACTGAGATAGAAGGATTGCAAGTTTGAGGCCAGCCTCGGCAATTTAGTGAGACCCTATCTCAAAAAACAGAAAAGGCTGGTTTATAGTTCAGGTACAGTGTACTAGTTCAATCACCAGTATTATAAAATAAATTCTAAAAAAAATTAAAAAATCGAACCTATGCAAGTACTCCTTGAGGAGAAAAAAAAACAACATTGTTTTGTGCACATTTTCAGATTTGTAGACCCCCGATTTAAAGCCCTATACAACACTGTAAGTTGGATCAATTGATTGAAGAAGTCAATTGTAAGTTGAATATAAGGGTGACAACATCCTCCTGTCATGCTCCACAGTGCATACAGTATACAAGCACAGAACAAGGATTAGAGAAGGATGTGAAAGATTTTGTAAACAAACCTAATTTTCTTAATATTGCCATAGGAAACAGTCATGGAGCTTCTGGTAAATTGGTATATTTGCAGTAATAGAAAAATCCTACATAGGAAAGTCATTCAGAGAAAAAGAAGAAACCAACAATACTTATTAAGTCTTGTTGTATGCTAAGGGATTTACATGATATTGATTTTTAGGCTCAATAAAGTCTTTAAAGTAGTTATTATCAGCTTTTATAGTTTGCCAAAAACTTAAGACCAATGGCCAAGCAAATACATAAATTCAGATTAATCCAAAATGGAAATAACCTGGCTTTCCAGATAATCACCTAAATATTACACATGATAGTATAGAAATGTTAGAATGTTATAGAAAATAAGGTAGGGGGCTTAAGACACGAAGTGAGAAGAAAAAAAGTGCCTATGGGATGAAAAASAGGGAAATCATAGAACTGACAGGGGAAAAAAAAACAGGAAACAGATGAACAATCTGGATCATAATATATATGATAGAAAATGAGAGAAGGAACACCAGCTGTAAAGAACAATCTTATTTCAATTCCAACTCTAATGCACCATGTAACAATAAACTTAACTTTTCTGGACCTCAGCTTCTCTACTTTTGAAATTTTGGTTATTAGATTGCAAAATAACTTAAATTTCTGAATTCCTTCACAATTTTTGCAACACTTTCACATGTGTTATGTTCAATTCATTCCACTGAGCAGTAACTTTGTTTTATTCAACACAGTATCACTAGCACCTGGCTGGTACAAAGTAGGCTCAAAATATTAATGGAAAGAATAGATAAATTGGATTCTGACAATAATCCCGTGAGGAACACAGAACAGGGCATGTATTATTATACGTATTTTATATAAGAAAAACTAAAGTTTAAAGAGTTTAAAATACAGTTAAGTGATAAAGTCAGAAAACAAACCCAAGTCTTCAAATTACTAGTTCAAATCTCTTTCCAGGTCTAAAATTTCTGACATTTTAATATACTCTTAAGGAGTCAAATACATGAATAAGGAACTCTTATTATTTCTAGTGTTTTGAAAAAAAATAGGACAGTGTTACTATAGAAAACAATTAATAAAGAAGAGTTCTCTGAAGAAATTTAAAATTCAACATTATGCAAATGAAACGAGAYAAAATCTGATTTCTGATCTTCTTTGATTACACCAATTATGTTTTCCATGTTCCATAGTGAGTCTGCATCTATAATTCTGGTAGTCTAAAAACACTTGCTATGAATCATGAGGAAGTGGTACAAAACTCTCTTTATAATTAAGATGATTGTTCAAACCAAAAGTCTTATGCAAGGCTCCCCAATAAGCTCAGATTGAGAAATATATTCTATTCCATCCCTCTACCTGCCTACCCCAATCTAAAGCTTTAGGGTCAGTCAACACAGTTATAGAGGAAAGTTCTGACTGGGCAGCATAAGCTGAAAAATACTTGTGCACATAGATCAGAAAACAGTGAAAGCTATCAGACAAAGTTCTATTCTTAAGCACTATCAGAATCACAAGATTGTATTATAAAAACCTAAGTATAGAGGAAAAGGGGTTGGCTAGAGAATACGATTTTTACCTTTTAAAGAGTATACCTCAAAAATACAGTAGGAAAATCAATCTGTGTATTGGGTAGTAAAATCTTTTAATAATAAAAAAGTCTTCAAACTCATTCAAACATAAAATCCTTTCAAAACAAAATAATTCTGAAGCATTTTCCCTTTCATATAATGCTACCAATTAAAAAGCCTTAAAAAATAAAAATAAAAATCATTATTAACTTTAATATATATGAAATGGCACTTTGCCACTAAAAAAGCAAGTAGTTTAAGTATAATACTTTTGCCATATGGAAGCAGTACACAAATGGGTTTCTAACAAGAGAAGTTTTAAAAGGACTTCTGCTAGCAATATCCTGTTAAAGAACAGTTATACTGAAACTACAGTGAGGTATAGCAGTTATAACAAAACTAATTTTTTCCATAACACTCAGATAAAATAAGAGCATCTATGGAAGAGGAGAGAGAAGGTAATTTCAATAAATGGTAAAAGATCTAAAATGCAACCTATGGAGAAGACTATGTATGCAAAAAAAAACTGGCAAAGAGATGGAAAGCACAGCTTAATCAAGACAAACTTTCTATAAATCCTCAAGTCTAGGGCAGTTTAAAGGTTGCTGTGCATGGTGGCGCACACCTGTAATCCCAGTGACTCCGGAGGGTGAGGCAAGAGAATCACAAGTTCAAAGCCAGCCTCAGCAAAAAGCAAGGCGCCAAGTTACTCACTGAGATCCCATGTCTAAATAAAATACAAAATAGAACTGGGGATGTGGCTCAGTGTTTGAGTGCCTCTGAGGTCAATCTCCAATATTCCCATCCACCCCCACTCCCACCCCCTAAAAAAAAAAATCTTATAGGTTCCAGTTCTATAATCTGGGAGTTACTGCAAAATAATAATCTGTTTTACTTACCTTTTAATTAAAATACCCGCCCCAATTTAAAAGGTATTTTCCCTACTGGAACAAACAATATATATAAATTTTTCAGCATAAATAAAATGCAGTGACCTTACCTAGTAGCAAACTGAATGAGAGCATTCTGAAGAGTCTGCCTAATTTCAAGAAGAAAAGACTCATCATCACTTAGTGTGTAATACCAATACTGGACATAATCCCTCAAGGAAAACTGGATAACCTGTAAAAAAAAATATTAGGGAAAAAAATAAACTTTTAGGATCAACACTGTCTAAAATCCTCCAAAGAAAACTAGATAACCTATAAGAAAATATTCGGAAAAATACAGTATTTTAGAATTTTAAAAATAGCAATGACAAATTAAAAATTAAAATAGTTACCTACCAATTTATATCTATTCTCTGTATCATAAATTGTGGTAATAAGTACCTGCCTTCATTATGAAAAAAAAATCAACATGCTAAAAAACATTTCATGAATTTTAAAGTTATTATGGTATTTCAACTCATCTACTGTCCCAATGTTTCAAAAACTTAAAACATTATCTATAGCCAAACTTGTGCAAATTTCGGTAGACAAGAGTTCGTGGAAAAAACAGATTTTTCAATGCTATAATACAACAAAGAGATTTAATCAGTTTGATAAAATGAGATGTAAAATAATGTTCAAAAAATGTTTCTCTAAGATTATATCATGAAATCCACTGCAGGTATAATTTWAAAAAAAAGATACAGGATTAAACTTAGTTCTAAAATAATACATTTGATATAGCCAACCACCTTAGCCCATAAATAGCAAATAATACAATTCAATGTATAATTTTTGCAAGTTAGATAAAATATGGGTTCATTTACAAATAAATGTTAAAAATTTAAAGTACACATTATTTATACTGAATATATAATCAAAAACATCAACAAAAAATATTTTGGGGTAAATAATTTTTTACCTAACTCTAATTTTTGAACATTTTCAGCCTAACCAGGTATTTACACTTTTTAAAAATAAAACAGAAAAAAAATATCTCATTTACCAAACCCAGTAAGCTTCTTCATCAGGAAAAGTAATACCTTTCAGATTAAAAAATATCAGAAATATCTAATGTTAACAAAATTTTTTCTCTAAATGAAAATTCAATCAAAAAATCACCTCATAATAGGTGCTTAGTAAATCAAGCAATATCTTTACATACAAATGTCAAGGATAGCATTATCATAAACTTTTAACATTATTTCAATAGCAAAAAGGTATACCTTAGTATTTTCAAAAGAAATACACCTAGTATATAATATATGGAATTCAAATACCACATACTGAAACTCACTTGCTGGAGAGGTTCATCAATTATATTGGCACCCGTCAATCTTCTATCAATCTTAATAGTCCTGGCTTCCCGTTTCATTTCTTCTAAGCACTTAAAGGAAACCATAATATTTTATTGAGTGATTTAAAATCTCTCCAGTTGGCTTCAAATTGAATACTCATTGTCATTTCCCTTCTTCATCTTCGATTCAATAAATTATTTCTTGAGACTCTAATATAAATCAAACACTTTTCTCAAGATAACAAAACTAGGCACACAGAAAAAAATCTCTTATTAGCTTCAAAAATTTAATTAAATTAGAAAACACTATTTAGCTGGGCACTGTGATGCACATCTGTAATTCCAGCAGCTAGGGAGGCTGAGATATGAAAATAGTGAGTTCAAAGAAAGCCTCAGCAAAAGCGTGATATTAAATAACTCAATGAGACCCTGTCTCTAAATAAAATACAAAATAGGCCTGGGGATGTGGTTCAGTGGTTGAGTGCCCCTAAGTTCAACACCCGGTTACACGCCCATCCCCGGCAAAAAAAAAAAAGAAAAAGAAAAGAAAAGAAAACACTATTTAGAATGTGGGAAAATTGAAAATGTACAGGTATATCCTTGCGATATTCTAATGAGACTTTAAAACTATAAAGTTATTGTTTCAGGGAGTCAAGTTAATAACTGTCTTTATTGGACAGTTCTACCAGTTCTACCTCCCCTTTCAAAACCCCCAATAGTACACCAGCTGCCAAATGAATGTGTTTTGAAATTGATTTTATTTAAGGATAATTTTAAGCAACTAAAGAAAATGTATTTCTCTACTTCTCCTTAGCTTTCAGAAATAAAAGCAGCCTGGGAATAAGGTAAAGGGTAATGGGAGACTAAATTAAAAATGTAAGTCAAAGCACAAATACACCACAAAATGTTTCAGTTATGATAAACCAAATATACAATGCTGGTCTTACAAGATTATAATGGAGCTGAAAATTTTGTATTTCCTACTGAACAACGCACAACTAAAAAAGCAGCAACAGAAAAAGAAAACTCAGAAAATCCACAGTAAAGGCTTTTTGCAACTTTTGCAAACACACACACATACCCCTCAACAAGCTCCTTTTAAAAATCTGAAAACATGGACCCCAATATATTCATAGAAAGGAATATTCACAGTGTATTATCTGCTTATGAGAAAATCTATGATAAAAAATTATAAACACAGAGTGACACATACACACACCAAGAAGTCACCATGGACATATTGCTGTAAAAAGTGAAACCTCCTCAAGAAGAGACTCAGGAAGATCTCTCAGAAGGCATTCCAGAAGAAAGCATTGTCATCATAGGAGATCACAGCTCCATGTGTTGCTAATCCTGAAAACCTTCTAGTGGGACAGGATGTAGAGGTGTAAGACAATGACAGTGACAATCCTATCTCTGTTTAGGCCTAGACTAATGAGGATGACTGTGTCTTTTACGAGTTTGTGTTTTATGCTGTTATTACAAAAGAGTCAAAAAGTTTTAAAAATTTATAAAGTTTATTAAGTAAAAAAGTTACAGTTGGGCTGGGGTTGTGGCTCAGTGGCAGAGCGCTCACCTTGCATGTGCGAGGCCCTGGGTTTGATCCTCAGCACTACATAAAAATAAAGAAATAAAACAAAGGTATTGTGTCCAACTACAACTAAAAAATAAATATTAAAAAAAAGATACAGTACTTTATTATTGAAAAAAATTTTTATAAATCTAGTGTAGCCTAAGAGTGTAGTGTTTGTTAATATCTACAGTAGTGTACAATAATGTTCTAAGCCTTCACATTCACTCACCATTCACTCCCTAACTTATMCAGCAAATGGTGTATGTACCATTTTTTATCTTTTTTTCCCCATAATCTTACTTACTTTTTCTGTGCAGACATATTTAGACACAAAACACCACAGTGATACAATGACCACAGTATTTGGTGTGGTAACATACTATACAGGTTTGCTGCCTAGAAGCACCAGGACAGACCACACGGCCTAAGTATGTAGTAGGCTATATTATCTAGGTGTGTACTCTACAATGTTTACACAATGACAAAATCACAGAGCAATGCATTTCTCAGAACATATCCCTGTTGTTAAGTGATGCATAAGTACATAGATTCATACCTTAAGTCAAAATATGAAACCACTAATATTTTTCCATAAAATGTACTTAAAAACCATATTTTAGAAATGGAAAATCAAAAATATTTTCATACCATTTAGTAGAAAATGAATTATAAAGGTACAACCTGTCTTAACTATGATTTATTACTATTTAGGATCTAAATTCCTAAAATATTTCCTATCCTCTGTTATATGCCACTTAAATGAATGTAAACTGGATAGTTAAGAAATGTTCCAAGAAAAGATGCATTTACTCAGACTTGTAAGCAAACAAAGAATACATGTTAACAAATTCTAAAGAAAATGAGAAATGATTCAGATTATAAAAAAAGTTATAAGATTAGCTTGTCAATATGAAAGTCAGTAGGATTTAATGAAATTCTTATATTTCAGTAATAATATTACACATTACTTACCTCTGCATCTCCTACATGTTAGCATATAATGGACTGTAAAGTTATGTTACTGGGGCACTGATTCACAGTCATTTGTATCTCTTCCTATGAGACGAAACCATCCCACCCCACAATAAGAACTAAAATCACTGCAAATCTTAAATCTACCCATAGTACCCAACTTCAATTTTATTTTTAAAATCCTACTTTTATTTTAAATAGAAAAGGAGCACTACTCAAGATAATAAAAATTAGGGCTGAATTATTAAAACTACAGATATTGCGTAACTTAATTGTAAGCTATATTTTTCAATGTAATTAAAGAAAAAAATGCAAATCTTTCCCTCTGATTTCCATTTAATGTATTGTATTCAAAACATAATATTCATTAACATTCTTACAAACCATATGGATGATTCTTTGACACTCAATGTTAATATAGCAGGAAAACATTCAAATTAAACTAACCAATTTATATCTTTTCCTTAAATTTTCATTCCCACTTGACATCTAACATTAAGAAAGTTTCCAATGTGAATTTTCAAAATATACTTTTCTAAGTATGATCAGAAAGTCTCCCATAAATTTCCTAAGCATTAGTGAATAAGAAGAAAATCTCCCAAGCCATAGAGATGATCACTGCAAAAAATTGGACTTTTTGAGATTTTTCACATTCCTTTAGACCATTTACCTTAGGAACCCCAGTTGATGTTGGAGGAAGAAATGAGTGTTCACACTGCTCTAGGTACTTTTCTGAGTTTGTTTTTCCAAACAGAAGGGTAACCACTAAACCCCTAGAGGAAAAAAAATAATTAAAGAATTAAAAAAAACTACTTCTATAAATTAACACATCTACTATTCAAGTATATACTTCAGATGTTATAGCTTTATTATTCATCAAAAATGCCTTCTGTAAATTTACCCAAAAAATGACAATTTTGTTTTGAACAAAATTTAAAACAGCAATAAACAATTTGTGAATCACATATTAAATACACAATTCCTTTCAAAATTTTAATTAAACATACATCACAAAGAATCTCAGACATTTTCAAAATTGGAAAAAATCAGTCCTTGTTAAATATGGAATCTAATAACAAGGATAAAGACAAATGACATCTAAATCAATGGCTGCATGACCCAATTCTAGAGTGCTAATTAAGGTGACATACTAATATTTATAACTTGACAATGCCTACAGAAACGAGTGCTATACAGAAAAAAATGATCCAGATTATGACTTGTTTTGAAACAAGTCTAGAATTATGATAATATCAATTTATCCTCAGAAGATTAATTATTTTTAAAATAATTAAAAGATCACAGTAAAATAAATACTAGTTCACTATTTAGTATTGACTAAATGTCATCACTATTTCCTATATTTAAAATTTACCAATAAGACAAAGCCTTGGAAATCCATAAAGGAAGAAAATTAACTTTAATCTGATAATGATTGCTAACCTTACAATAATTGAAAGATAGTAAAACATTAAATACTGTCAATCTCAACTACCAAAAGGAATAAGATTCTCAAAGTCATCCACTTCTTGTTACTACCCGTTTATTCACCAATCTTCAAGTATAAATACGTTAAGTAGAGTGGGAGGGCAGGTGAACACAGATTAAGATCATATCAGGGGGCTGGGGATGTGGCTCAAGTGGTAGCGAGTTCGCCTGGCATGCTTGCGGCCCAGGTTCGATCCTCAGCACCACATACAAACAAAGATGTTGTGTCCGCCGAAAACTAAAAAATAAATATTAAAATTCTCTCTCTCTCTCTCTCTCAAAAAAAAAAGATCATATCAGAATTCTGTTTTTGTTTAAGAGGCTGGCCTCAAAATTATCAGTAAATTTCATCTACCTTTTATAAATGATATTTCTAAGATTTATGTTGGCTGTATATTTCACTTTTACCTAATTATTTAGAGTAGAATCAAACACAATAAAATACTTATATTAAATTAACCTCATATTCCTAAATTTTTAAAAAAATCATAAAACAAGACTGATAAAATATTAACCTCTGCCCATAGAGCAACAGTAGGAAGGCAAGCTAACCAACAGTTTGAAATTAAAGAGCACCTAATTAACAGTGTCAGCTGTGAGGGTTAAGTAAAAACAGGTACTACCAATGCTTACATTATCCAACAACTATAACAACGCCATGAAACAACCATAGTATGGTACTGACAGTAGTACCCTAGGATAAAAATAAAAATAAAACATCTTTTTCTCTCTTAAAGTTTCCTATATATTTGAAAATAGGAATTAGCTATGGCTGTAAAAAAAAAATGAAAACATGATCAATATTTTTTTGTGGGTAAAATGCAGAATTTAAAACAAGTTTTATTAGCAAGAAAGGGGAAAGAAGATCCCCAGGAAAATGCATTAATTTCAAACTTGCATTTTAAGTAAGAAAAAAAAAGCCTCTTTTAAAACTTACACAGCAAGAAAACACACAAAAACTAAGAAATTATTTTGAATTTATGAAATTTCAGCATTTGCCTTAAAATTGATACTTAAAAGTCAATTTTTTCTTTAAATTCAGAAGATTTTTAAACTATACAGAGTTAAATTAAAGAAGGGAAAATTATTCATAATGAGAGCCAAAATAAGAAAGATTTGACTTAGGAAATTATGATATTCATTGCCCATAATTGAGTAATCTGGGAATACTTAATTAACTAATCCTCCTGAGATGAGTTTCAGAGGTTTGCTGGTARAAATAGAAATAAAAGTACCCTTTAATGGTAGTGAGTTTCAATGAGATCAACACAGTATGGAACAGTATGTCAAACCAATTTATGATTTAGCATAAACTTGGAATTTCAGACCTCATCATGTGACTCTAAACAGTATCTAAAGCGTTTTTGTATCCCAGCTATTCATGAGGCTAAGATAGAAAGACTGCAAGTTCCAGGCCGACCTTGCCAAACTTAGGACCCTTTCTTAAAATAAGTAATAAAAGGGTTGGTGATGTAGCTCAGTGGTAGATCACTCCTGGGTTCAACTATCAGTATCTAAAGAATAAAAATATATAAAAAATATAAATATTTTTAGTACCCTTCCCTCAACCTCCAATGACCCATCTTATCTAAAAAATTGTTTCAGAAATTCTAAGTATCCAAAACTGTTTTTATAGAATTCTTCCTTCAAAAAACAGCAGATTCAGAAAGGGAGCAAAAAAGAAAAGTTTCCATGACTTTGGAATGAATGGACTGATGACCTTTTCCTGTTTCTCAAATTTTATATGACATTTAGTATAAAAGAAATGATTCTCTACCTTTCAAAGGCTCCTACCTTTGTCTCTAAAACTGCAATTTCTCACCTTTCCAAAATACTGGCAAATATTGCTAAATTCTTTTCCTTCACTCTTGCCACGGCTTATTAGTAATATTAGAAGAAATCTCTGCCTTTCAGACAAATATCTCAAGAAAAATAATCTCCTTTCAATCAGAGAAAGCAGACCATGAAACTATGCAGCCATGCTATACCCTTAATTTGTAACAGGACTATAATTAGAAAGCCCATTTATGTTACAAATCTCTAAGGTCTTTCATCATCCTTGTTACCAAAAAAGATATTTTGAACACTACATTACTTGATTCCTTTAGCTAAAATAAGTTTTGTTTTAGTACACAGTACCATACTTAGACAATTATCATAAAAATACTGAATCTAACACAAAATACATAGCTGCTCAATTTAAGCAATTCTCACTTTTCAATAATCAGTGGGAATATCCATAAGAAACAACTACACACAACTTCCAAACCTGTACCCTGAAAGAGGTGGTAGGTAGTATAAATATTCAGAAGCCGCCCCTTTGGTATCTCATATAGTCTCTCAAACCATTGTTATATATACTGTTCCATTCAACTAAATACTCTAAACCTGGACTCAAACAACTCCTCCAAATATTTCAGGTCCCAAAAGACATTTTTAGAAGAAGTCTCAAGAGTTCATTCTGCAACTAATTACTTACACACACACACACACAAACACACACATACACACACACATGTTAAACAAAATACTCCTCTCCTCTAAGCTCCCTTGTTTCTAAATAATAAACATTTCACTTGTATATATATTTTATGTTTTCTTACAATTCATATATGATACCAGTGCTCTAAATATGAAGTTATAACAAAGTATGGCTAAAACTTCCCTTTGAATGGTTTATTATCTTAAGTGAACACATAAACACTGTAAAACAAATAACCATGAAGATAAAACGGTAAAATCAAGTATTTGAATTTTCTAGACCAAACTAACCACATTCATTAGGGAAAATGAGAAACACTAATATTTGAAGTCTAACTAATAAAACAGTATTTACATTGTGAAATTTGATATATAAATTATATAAGATCATAATAAATCAGAAATATCCAATTTTAAAAGGATAAATAGCATCAAAATAAATTTTAAAATCCTTTTTCTATTATCACAAAAAAGAAACTGAAACATTATTTTTGGAGATAACACCCATATTTTTAGTATCTTAAATTTACCTTTTTTTAAAATTTTGGTAAAATGCTTGTTTAAAAAAATCAGCATTCACGAATAAATCATACTCCTACTTTTTACCATCTTTTTTTTATTTTAACAAGATATACATGGAAATTATAAAATGATCACTGATTATACTTACCCACCCACAAAGCAGAGGATATAAAAGGCCAAATAAAATATTACAAAGGGTCCAAAGGTTACTAGAAAAAGGACGACGCCAAGGCTTCCCCATCCCCATATGGATAGACTGGCCTGAAATAAAACAAAGAAATAAATAAATAAATAACTGTCCACATAAATTAGAAAAGAATCAACCAAACTTTTACACAATTTTAAATTTCTACTTTTCAACATTTATGGTATTGTTTCAGCATACATTAAAATATTTACTTTTAGAAATGTTCTTGGAAATTTATCTCCAAAAAACAACATATGATAGAGATTTATGGAAGATCAACAATAACTTAAAAAACAATTAGTGGTAATACAAAAAAATAGCATGAAGTAGTTTCACAAATTGTTAAACAAAAAGTTGGCATGAAAAACATAACAATATTTATAAAATATATGCATATTTATATTCATAGAACATAAAAGATTAAGTGGGCTACAAAGTTATACTTATTTAGAATTTCATTTTAAAACTAAGTCTCAATAACTATAGCATTTTTTATTAAAATTTCAAGAAATCCATCTCATTGAAAATAGTGATATTATTTCATTTAAACTGTGTACAGAAACCCATAAAATTGTACTTGCAAAAGTTCCAACTTTCAATACTACAATTTACCAAAAGTTCAACAAAACATTTCCAAGTCTCCATCCTTTAAAAAAAATTTTTCATACAGAATTATACTGTTTATCCAGTAAAAATACTCCTTTTGTTGAGGACAAAACTGATGTTAGCAATTTAAGTCATTATGAATAAATAAATGTATTCAATTCAACAAGTTTCTACATCCATTTGCCTAGCACCCTGAGGTATACAAAGAAAGCATTTGTCCCACTCCTACCATCAAGGAGCACAGAAAAGAATGTCTTAGAGGAATGAAACAATTAGACACTGAACTAAAGGAAAATAATAGAAAGCATTATAAGATACTAAACAAATTGAAGACCAAAAATCTGAGGAACAGACAATAGGTGCTGTGGATTACAAGAGAAAGAGTTTTATTCATTCATTCACGAGTTATTGATTGCTTTCTATGGTCTAGACACGATTCAAGATTCTAGGAATATCATCCTCTAAACTCACACTGTAAAAAAAAGGCTAGAAATATAGCTCAGCTGGAACATAACCATATGCCTTTTTAAGTTTATGTTGTAGAAGAGGGGGAAAAATTAGTAAATATATGCTTATATCAGATGGGGATAAGTGCTGGAGAAAAGGCAACTGTAGTGACCTGTCTAAGCAGTTTTGAATGATTACATGACTTACGAACAGAAAATACTGGACATGATTTATTTATGGAGAATTTATTTATAATACTGAGTCTTCCTGCAGCAAAATAATATTTTCCCATTTAATCATGTCTTCTATAACCTTCAGTGGAGTTCTTTGTTTCTGTATCTCCCCACCTAACCCTCCCATGTCAACCATAACTCGTTCGTTTGTGTATTTATTATCCATTTTCCTCATTCTAGACACTATTATCTTCTAACTAGAGGAATGATAATGCCTGTTAACAAAGTTTCTTCTCTGTCTTCATGCTTTCCTCCTTGAATCAGCTGGGAATACAATTCCACCTACAGAAGTGGTCTACTCTGACTGCCTTCTAAAAGCTTAAAGTAGGGCACAGTGATTTAAAGTAGAGAGCAGTCCAATTCCTCTGATGAAACTTCGGTTGAACACACAGTACCTGGATCCACACTATGGTACTGCCAGATGCCCACCATAGGTAGGAAACAGACACTATTTTCTAAGACTCATGCAAACCTTATCCACTGACTTCCCCAGAAAAAAGATCTTATAAACTCTCCAGAAAGTTGAAACTAGATGTGACCCAGATACTTGATTCAACCGGCTTTCTCCAGTGAGATATGACCTAATATTAGCAGTATTACTTTTTCTTTTACAGTTAAATTTATGCTTACTAGTCAGTTTTTCAAAACCAAAAACTATAGTTTAAAGATATATTCAGAGGCTTTAAAAAAAAAAAAGTGACTATCTTTGGGGATAAAGGACATGGGTAACACACTGGGGCTTCTCAACTAATCAGTAGAGTTTTACTTCTTTACCAAGTGTTTGGTTTTAACTGTATAATTTACTCTTCAGGTTAATATCTTTCAAAATTAAAGGAATGAATCATGATTAGTTGATATGGGGAAGACTAACAGCAATTAGTTAACAAAGAAAGTCAATAAATTTGTCTAAAAACTCAAGTTTTGAGATTATTACAAGTTTTGAAAAGAATATAAAAACATCAAAAAAAAAAACCCTATTCTTTCAACAAAATTTGTGAAAACCTACAATGTGCCATCTGCTAGTGGTTTAGCCTTAGTGCGAGAGATTTTCATCTCCCTGCCCCCCTTTCCTTTCCCTGGAATGAGGATCAAACCCAGGGCTTCCAGAATTTCCAGCATGGCAGGCAAGTTGAGCCACCACTAAGTTATGCTTCCATCCCTCAGGAGAAATTTTTAAATGCCAGAAACTACTGAAATTAAACATTTCTAAACAAGCAAGCAAAGTGCTCATTTGCTTTGCAGTTAATCTCTTAGAATTATTAACTTCAAATGTTAAACTGGTCATTGAAACATCAAAATACTGCATTGTCTAAGACAAAAAAGATTGTGTTATTCTTAGTGTGCTCAGATCTGTAATTGGCTGATATTACAATGTTATTAGTACAATGAATTAAGAAAAACATTTCAGGGCTGGGGTTGTGGCTCAGTGGCAGATGGCTGGCCTAGCATGTATGAGGCACTGGGTTCAATTCTCAGCACCACATATAAATAAATAAATAAAATTAATAAAGGTTCAAGGACCACTAAAAGAAATTTTAAAAAAAGAAAAACATTTCATCTAACACAACTTAAAATTTCCTAAAATGACAAAAGATGGTAAAATTTGGGATAATTTGGTACTATGTCAAAAACCTTTCACAAATTCAAACAGATATTTATCAAACAATTGTACTGAAATAAATTTTAAAAAGAAAAGAAATCTACATAGGTGGTTTACACTAAAAACTCTTTACTACCATTTCCTTTGCTAAATACAGTAATTATTGCCTATGCTGACTAATCCAAGAATTATTCCCAACTATGAGTTATAAGAAACCTTCGAGATCATCAGATGCAATCCTTTTCAAACTTAAAGATTCTTAACTGCAGATTTTTAAAATGCAGATTCTGATCCAGTATGACTGGTGTAGGGCCTGTGAGTCCTTCATTTTTAACAAGCTGCCCAAACTGTTTAGGACCAGGAGCAATCTATATATTTATAAATCTCCCTTCATTAGTTTTTAGGTCTGTAAAAGCCTTATTCACAATTCCAAAATGTAAAAGGATCTAAAAACCAAAATTATACTAAGCATTCCATATAACAGATCTCACTCCTGAGAACAACTTATGAAATAAAAAGGCAGTAGCATATAATGCTCAAAAATTAGACTTCAGAGTGAATTTAAATTTTACCTACATGCCTTCCTTTCCTCATTCATGTCACTATGTTATTGTGAGAAGTAAATGAGTCCATGGTCCTGTAGCCAGTTTTAACATAAAAATCACTATTTCAATACCTACTTTAACAATAAAGAAACTAAGGCTCAGAAAGATTTTTTAAATTGCCAAAGGTCACACAAAATAAGAGCAAAGTTTGATTCTAGGCAATTCTAACTCCTTAATTAACCTTAAAATTTGTCAGCTAATAATTGTCTGAAGTTAAAAACCATAGTAAGATAAAAATGCTAAAGTCAAAACTGAGTACCTTCTTTTACATAAATATTAATAAGTTTAATATGTCCCCCAAGAAACTAGTAAGAAAACTACCTATAATAAATCTATGTTATAAAGCCCTAGTTTGAACATAAAACATATACTTTTTATTAGAAAATAAACTTACCCTTTTGTACCCTAAAGAAAAAATGGAAAGAACTTCCAATTACAAACAATGTCAACTTCTTACCATGTTTAGATCCTTCATGTATAGGGGTTTGGCTTTAAGTTCAGACAAAAATTGATTTCTGCTTCTAGGGGTCTTAGACTCAAAAAATGAGAATGCAAAGGATCATACATGCCTCCTGACAATAAAAAGCAAGTGAAAATTATTTATCTTGTGATACTCTATGCCAATCAAGACAAACCAACATTTACCTCATTTGACCCTCCTCATATATATATTTATGATAGGAAAGGCAGCATAATATTTTACTAAGTACAGAATCAGAAATTAGGGATTTCAGTTTTCCACTAACTTTCTATATAACTTCTGAAAAATTAAGCTGTTTTGATCCTAAATTTTCATATGAGATCATTTCTCAAAGTCTCTATCTAACAGATTGGTTAAGTAACTTTGTTCATAATGACACAGCTAATTTGAGTGCAGAGCCAGGACTTGATTTTCCCAGTTCACATGGARGTGGGGCCAAGAAGAAACAGCTCTTTTACAGCAGCTAGAAAAAACTATCAAAACACTCATGGAAAGGACTTTAGACTCCAAAATGAGTCTCACTAGAGTGAATCAGGTCAACCACACTAACAATTATATTAGCTTGGCATATTATATGCATTATATGACAGAGAGCAGCCAAACAGACAAGGCTAAAAATGTTAAAGTTCATATGACTTCAATGTCAACTTTAGCCATGTTAACTACATACAGTTAACAACCAAAATAAGTAAGCATAAGAAGAGTGGCCTTATTATAAGCATAGCTTATTTTCCTCACACTTACTTCCATTTAAAATAAGTTAGAAGCTCTTTTCCAGGTAATTTCAATAGAATATTGTCCTGACATGGGACTCCCATCATACAAGATTATATAATAATTTAACCAAGGCCAGGTACCTAGAAGCTGCTCACTAAATATCAACATTCTAATTAATTAATTTACTAACTAGAGAAGGAGATTAAGGAGGAAATGGGAAAAGGAAGGAAGGAGAAAAAAGAAATCATGGAAAAGGACAAAGAAAAAGAAAACAAAAAAGAGGGAAAGTAAAAAAGAAAAGGACCCTAAGATGAAGTACTCCTCTTCACCCTCACCTTATGGCTTGAGATAGCATTACCTAGTTCTACCATCACAACCCATACCA